CCTCCATATGAAGTGTCGCAGTCCTAACGGTCCATAAATATCAACGGGGCGTCTGTTTGGGTCAGGGCTACTTTGGAGGCTGAGTGTACACAGCAAGCCAGGAAGTCCAAAAAAGTGGTCACCGTGAAGATGAGTTATGAAAATCTTGGTGATCCTGCCTATCGATTAGAACAACAGGAAAACAAAAACAAACCCGGAAAAGGTAGGAAAAGAAACCAACGCTGTAACAGCTCAGAAATAATCACTTTTGGCAACAGGTAGGAAATAAGGAAGGAGGGAAATTAAAAGCACAGAGCAGAATTGGCTGATCCTGCCACATCTGAATGCAAAGTAGTGCTGGAAAGTGGTGGAGCTTTCACGTATTACATGGAAACTGCAGACTAACGAGAAACATAAAGTGGATTTTGTGTTGTTCCTAGTTTTGAATTTAGCACATGAAATGATCACAATTAAAGCAAAAGCGCCCAGGTTTGATTTCCAAGGTTTTTTACAAGGCAAGAACCCCACGGTTCCCAGCTGGTTTGTTTTGCACAGACGAAAAATTGCGCTTAAAGATTTGGGCTTTGTTTCACATCTGAGTTTGTCTCGCTCCAGCTCTCAGGCACTGGGGCTTGCCCTCGCTGCATTAAAAAAGCCCGGAATTTTCTCTCACTACAAACACGTGTGCTTTAACCAGGCTGCCTCAGTCTCCTCTGCCAGCTGAGTTCCCACTTCCTCGCAGTAAATCCACATTTGAAATCACAAAGCCCCAGAAATTAATTCAGGAGAGTTTGGTTCTCAAACACAACTCTCGAACACAGGATGACTGCACGGCAGGTTCAGCAACTGCCACCCGTACGCAGCACCTTCAGCTGCTCCGGCACCTTTAGTACCGTGGTATTCAAATACCACGAGCACGAGGGCACAGTATTTTGTTTAGATCTCATGCAACTTTTCCCCTTCCCTCATCACAATCCCTGTCAACAGCACAAACCTGCTTTGAGATGGCTCTTCATGAACTGTGTCTGCGTTCCCTCTCCGCAGTCAAAGAGCCAGCACTCTCCTTCCCTGCGAAGCACTAACGCTGACGCCCCTCTTGTTGGGGAGGGATACGCTGAGCCTGTGCCGAGGAAAGTTATATCCATCGACATTCTGAATATGTCAGTATGTCACCTGAAAGAGAGATTTTGAGCCATTGAACAAACGTATTCATGCTGGGAAAGAAACAAACACTTTTGCTTCCAGTGAAGGCATCCTACGCACTTTAATGTGAGGATCAAATTCCCCTTCCCTTAAAAAAAAAATAAACCCCTTCCCTTAAAAAAAAAAATAAATAAAACCTCTCTGGAGTAGGACATGACTTTCAGTCAACAGAGTATTTACAAGCAGCAGATTTCCTTTTCCTTTCTAGGTCAGTGGAAGGTTGCAAACATGCAGCCCGAACGTAAGACGCGACCTTTGCTCATTACCTGAGGAAACAGCCCCAGCCAGTTGGAAATGCTCTAATCTTTAAAGCCACTGTTCCTTCTTCTTTGCTTTATTTAAACTTTCAATTTTCCTGCACGCTGTTTCCTCTAAAAGCCTTTTCAGAATGACTAACACCAGCCGCTGCTGACATTTAAATGCTGCTACTGGATGTCAGGAGTGGGCAGCCCAGCACCACAGAGGGGAAAGATTTGCTCCCCTCAAAACAACTTCAGATACCGCATGAGGCCAGGAGCGACCTGATTTCCTTTGCAACAGCATCCTTGAAGGGATCCACGTTTGACTCCTCATCGGTGCCAAGTGAAGAATTAACCACCACCAAACCCTCACGTCACCTGGAGGCTGCGTGACAGCTCACGGGACACCTACTGCAGCAGAAGGATTTACACAACCTGCTGCTATACCCCCACTTGTTTATATATCCGCTATAGTGCCCAGATGAGGAGCCTGGCTGGGCTGCAGGAGCAGGACAACCTTCCAAAAGCCGCGTCAGGAGCAGAATTTCCACGTGCATGACTCTGACGCCGTCTCCCCTCGTGGGGTGCACTTTCTTCACCCTTAGTCTTCCCAGACTTGGTTCCTACCTGGTTTTCAGATGTATTTCCACCTCACTGCAAACTCCAGGTGCCTCAACAGCTTCAGGTACCTTTCAAGCAAAACACATTACCATTTCTCACGTTTAGCTGCCACA